CCTGCTAAAGAGCCCCCTGGTGGTTGAAGAAAAATCCACAGAAAAGCCGCACCAGGTTATAGGCCACATTGTTCAAAGCTTAGGAAAAAAAGTAGCGGCTTATAGTCTGGAAAATACGGTGGGTGAAATTGGATAATTTCCACGGCACACTAGCACATTGGTTGAAAAACACTGGTTTAGAGAGTCAGTCTTTTCCCGACTTTGGTCACTTAATTCTGACAAATAAAAGTCAGTCACCAAACACGGTTTTCTATCACATTCTGTGTATTTAGAATTGTTTTATTGCCAATACAAGAAGATGGAAGCTGGCTGATAGCAGGGGACAAAAAAGTAGACTTCCTGAAAAGATGAGAGACAGCTTTCTAGAAAATTCTGATCTTATGTAAAATATGACAGATTACTGGATAAAATAAATTTCCATGACAACCATTTGATGACATTATTTGCCAAAATTATGAGGGGGGAACCATATATTTCAGCTGCATGAGATAATCTGTTCCCCTCCTCAACGCTCTTTGGAGGGAGGACAGGTTATTTCAGGCAGCTAAAATATTTGGTTCCCCCCTCATAAGTTTGGCAAATAAGTAAATGTTACCAAATTCACAGAATTTGCTGCTGATGATGAGATTAATAAACACAGTTAAAGACGTGCTGGTAAATTAATTAGCTCCCATGTTATAAAGGGGGAACAAATTATTTCAAGAAGCTAAAATAATTGGTCCCCAGACTCTGTGTATCCACAATGATCGCTGCTGCTTTCTTCATCTACTGCACTAGATGGGTTAAATGTTATTACTCTTTGTTATATTAAAATTTTTTTAGAAGGGATGTTAGTACTGATTTTAAATGGTTCAGTGTAGCTGAGAGTTTTTGCTGTGTAGCCAGTTTTGCAGATTAACTTTTTCTGCTTCTTCTCATTTCATTTCAGCAAGTGTTCTGCAGTTGAACTCAAATGTTTCTACAATTTTCAGCAGTAACATTCAGCACTAACACTACATTTTTACAGGAAAGGTAAATGTTTTACTTACTTTCTAAGACAGTAAACATATATCTATGTGTAGAGGTTAAATTGGTTAGAAACATGGTAAACTGTAATAGAAGACAGCTGAAGCAGTAAAGAGAAAAATATAATGAAGACAAGACACAGTAAATTACTGAAGAAAATAATCAAACAGTTTCTACAATCAAGAAAAATCAATGCATGAAAATTAGTTTTTAGGACAAACACACTGAAGATCAGTTTATACCCAGTAGTCATAAGGACTATAAAATGCAACTACTACAATTTATCACTCAATTTTGTTATAATCCATGTCATTTTATTGAATGGTTTATATTATAACAATACAGTTTGTCATTATTTTTGCTACAGAATATGCCAGAAAAAAACAATGCATCAAAAAAAGTTTCACATCTCTAGGTGTCCAAATGTGAAGATCCAAATGATCACGTCTAACAAATACAACAATTTCTCAGCTTTATAGACATGAAATCCCTCCAGTCTTTAATTCTAGTTTTTAACCAAATCAATTTTATAGTGAACCTCAACATAGGACACACATTGAATCAATCAAATTTTATTTGTATAGCACATTTCAGCATGAAGGCATTTCAAAGTGCTTTACATCATTACAAACACAAAAACAGTCATGCAACATAGAATCAATAATCAAACAGTCATTCTTAAGAATAGAGAAAAAATGGGTTTAAATTTTTAAAATCAGATTAATCCTCTGAGAATTTTCTCTGAAAAGAAACTGGAGAACTTGTTGCAGGCGGATTGAAATTCAGATAGTAACATCATAGGAAGGTGACATTTCTACAGCTTTTCATCTGTGTGATGCCTCATATGGCGAGTTAAATGAATTTTTTGATGAAAACTTTTTCCACAGGTCACACATGAAAACGGCTTTTCACCAGTGTGAATCCTCATGTGACAAGTTAAATGCTGTTTTCTACTAAAACTTTTTCCACAATTCACACATGTAAACATATTTTCACCAGCGTGAATCATCAGGTGTTGAGTTAAACTAACTTTCTGACGAAAACTTTTTCCACAGTTCCCACATGAAAATGGCTTTTCACCAGTGTGAATCATCATGTGCCGAGTTAAATGCTGTTTGTGAATAAAACTTTTTCCACAGGTCACACATGAAAACGGCTTCCCAACAGTGTGAATTATCATATGCTGAGTTAAACTAACTTTCTGACAAAAACTTTTTCCACAGGTCCCACATGAAAACGGTTTTTCACCAGTGTGAATCATCATGTGCTCAGTTAAAAATTGATTTAGACGAAAACTTTTTCCACAGGTCACACATGAAAATGGCTTTTCACCAGTGTGAATCATCATGTGTTCAGTTAAAAATTGATTTAGACGAAAACTTTTTCCACAGGTCACACATGAAAACGGTTTTTCACTGTTGTGAATCTTCATGTGCCGAGTTAAATGCTGTTTTTGAATAAAACTTTTTCCACAGTTCCCACATGAAAACGGCTTTTCACCAGTGTGAATCATCATGTGCCGAGTTAAATGCTGTTTTTGAATAAAACTTTTTCCACAGGTTACACATGAAAACGGCTTTTCACCTGTGTGAATCATCATGTGCTGAGTTAAACTTCGTTTGTGACTAAAACTTTTTCCACAGTTCCCACATGAAAACGGCTTTTCACCAGTGTGAATCATCATGTGCCGAGTTAAATAG